CATTTTATTGAAACTTGGGAAATAAAAGTGCCATACACTAGAAAGATACATGAAAAATCTCTCCTAGATTTTAAATGAATTAGAGCTATGTGACACCAACATTCCCTCTGGTAATATTCCTGCTGAGTTTTCCTCCATATCTTGAGACTTTTCATTTCACCTGTTTCTTCAAAAAAACTGCAGGAATGGCAACTAGAATTCTCAAAGAATATAACATGAAAGAAAATATACCCAAGCTACCATAGAGATGAAAAAAAAAAAGTTGTTGCACTTATATTTGAACAAACATTTTTAACTCCTGCTAAGACTAGCAGAAATACTGAAATGAAACCTGATAGACCCCTAACATTATAACATGGTACTGTTTTGATAATGCCAGAAGTAATTTAATCTTGTTCAGTCATCCACTAACTTGCACATTTTTGGGCAAGCAAAATTTTGGTTGTCCTGAAGTAATAAAAACATTGACTTTGAAAACAGAGAAGACTACTCCCTTTAATTTGGCAAGAGCACAATCCTCTGGACTGGCTGAAAAATTATTTCCATGGGAAACAAGTTTCCCTAAAAATCTAAAAGGAAAAACAGAGCTTTAAAAATAATGCTGCTAGTCACAGATCCAAGCATGACTTTACCCAACTTAAGAGTCCAAGCCTATATCAGATTTAATGACCAACTCATTTATTGTCATTAATCTGCAAAACCTCACTTTAAAACATAGTTAGCTGATGTGTAAATTATTGTGGTTCCAATTTAGCAAATACTCATGGTGGTTTCTCAGACTATTTTAACTGGCAAGAGGAAAACTCAGTCGCCTACATACTCAAAATACTTTCTCTGATCATTTTCAATGAATACAATAAATGTTCCACGCAATCTGCATCCTTCCACTCCACCCAAGTATAGTGTGCTAAAAATAATTTAGGAGACTCCTTGTTTCAACTTAAACTTTGCTATATAAACATTTGTTGCACATGTTGAAATAAAATGGCACATTATCCATGATTATCCAAAAAAACATCAAATTCTATTCTACACCATGATCTCCTTCTGCAACACCTCACTAATGTATTTAAATTTATATACTTTAATGCCATCTCCCACTTAGAAAGCTAATAGAGTGAATCTTGTACAAAGTGGAGTACAAAGACATGAATGCCTCCTTTCTAACTGCATCTTGAACGAAGAAAGAATCATATCTCCAGCTCCACTTTCTGAAAGAGCAAATTTATAATACAGGAGTCCTTGATCATTAGCTGTCCCAGATTGCTAGCTTGCAGTGATGACAAGGACATTGGCACAATTATGTCTTGTGAACCATCTGTGGCTATTCATGAGCCAGCTAGTTCTGCCAGTAGTTATATATGTCATAGTTACACTATTCTTAGGTGAGCTTACCTTAGAAGATTCAACTGGTATAAAATGTAGTATTAAGCTATTAAACTTAATTCATAATGGAGTTAAAATCTGTCCCTTACAGACATATTTTGGCTTTCAGCATATGCTGAAAGTACTGTAAGACCACTTGCTTTTGGCTTCAATTACAATTTATTCTTTTGCTTATGATGAGTTGAACACCATGCAGTTCTAAATGGCTCTGAGTGACTTGCAACAACAAAAACATTAAAATAAAATCAGAGTATTTGAAACAACATTTCCTAACGGCACCATCCAGTTGGGGAAGCTCAATCCTTATTGTTCTCAAATTATTTCCTGAAGAACTATGTCTTCAAAGTCTTTGGAAGCCAAACAATGAGGGGGCAGTCTAGATACCAGGGGACAACCTGTCCCATGGGAGAACAGCCATCACCGAGAAGGCTTGACTGATCCATAGGTAACATTTCCCTTGGAGAAGATATTCTTAACAAGTATACATAAGGTGGTGGGGGAGTATGGGGACCTTGGTTAAAGAAGAGATTATTTGGTGCATGTAAAATGCAGTAATTTTTTTTTTGCTCAATATTTCTGCAAAAGAGAGCAATAAATCCTGATAAGCAATGGCTACTTGCAGATAATTATTAAAAATAAAGGAGTTTATAACAGATAGAACAATTTACCTTGAGAATACTTCAGTAAGCTTTACAAAGCCAGCATAAGCTAGCTCAAATGCTCCTCTATGCCTTGACTTTAGGAGATGATTCTTGAAATATTCCCCAATATCCTTTACCTAGCAGGGGGAAAAAAACCCAAGAAAAATGTATACTTTGTACAGAGAAACACTTTTGACAAAAAAACCGTGAATGCAGGTGAATGATAAAGTTCAAATACAGAATCATCTAGAAACGACAAAGTAAAAAAAATATCTTCAACCTACTCAGATTTTAGAAGCTTGTGTGAGAAACGAAAAGAACATAGTTCATGGAGGAAATTTAGAGCTACAGCTGACAAACAAATACCTGCATGATCTCTATGGCTAAAACGTGCCACTTCAGACAGGTGTGAGATCAAATGTACAACACTTCTCCACATCAAAACAACAAAATAAAACATTCCTTCACAAATGAACAGGCAATGAAAAAGGTTCTTGCCTCCAATCCTGCTTAAACAGGCTTATTTTATAGACATAGAGACTATTCTGCAGATAGTAGTCTTTAAATTTTTATTGCCTTTCTTCAGTGTGAAGCAGCTCAGCTAAGAAACAGATACATAATGGATAAATTTGTATACCTCTGGTTTTAGTAATGTTGTTTCCATTCATTTTTAACAGATCACCATTACAATTACCCTCCCCCCCCCGTCATCTTGAATGTTTTTAGTATTTATGTACAGGATTTTTTGTTTAGATTTGACTTTTAATGGATTATTTATTTAACTATTTATGGGA